TCCCCACCTCCTGTTCCCCTTCACGAGCAGGTTGGCCTATCTCATCTTCACCAGTGGCTCCACGGGCAAGCCGAAAGCAGTCATGATCCGGCACAAGTCTGCGCTGAACGTCGTTCGCATCTGGGGCAGGTACGTGGGCCTGCACGACAGGGATCGCTTTGCGCAGGTGGCCTCGATGTCCTGGGATGTCCATGTCATCGAGGTTTACGGAACCATGGCCGCCAGAGCCACGAGCGTAACATGCCCCGACATGGTCAAGAAGGGTCCCGACATGCAGGCGTGGTTGAAGGAGAGACACATCACTGGCATGAGTGTGGTGCCCTCCCACTTGCGCACCATGGCGGGTGGAGGAGAAGCTTCGAAGCGCTCGTAAGCCTCGGCTGCGCGTGCGCGTCTGTCTTTTTTCGGGTCTTTTCCCCTCGCAGGAGCCGATGTGTCTCGGACGCCGGGCGGGCTTCCACACCTGCGAATCCTCGATGTCGGTGGCGAAGCCCTGGGTGCAGATGTCGTAGAGACCTGGGCACCAGGACGCCAGCTCTTCAACAGCTATGGACCCTCAGAAATTTCTGTGGTCTGCACCGGTGGCTACGTGAAGACCGGCGATGTGATCACGATCGGTGCACAGCTGCCAACGTATCAGTGCTACATCTTGGATCCGGAGACAATGGAAGTGAAAGCCGAGGGCGAGCGTGGTGTCCTCTTTGTGGGAGGCATTGGTTTAGCACGAGGCTACCTGGAGGAGGAGGAGAAGACAAAGCTCAAGTTCATTGAACTGCCCGGCATCGGCCGCGTGTCTCGGCCTCCTCAGTAAAGAGGCGCTTGTATAACGGTACTCGTCATCGAAGGGTTTCTCAGCTCAGGTCTACAACACGGGAGACCTCGCGTCTCGAGCAGTGGACGGCCGCATTCACTACCACGGCCGAGTGGACTGGCAAGTCAAAGTGCGGGGCATCCGAATCGAGTTGGAAGCGCTGGAGCAGGCCAGGCAGGATTTGGCCATCAGCAGGCGTAGCATGGCGTAGCTCTGCAGCTGGAGCCATCTGGAGCCGCTCTTCCAAACTCCGAGGCCATCACCGAACTTTCCAATGTGAAGCACTGCGAAGCTCGGGTCTTGGACGGCCAGCGCCTGGCCGCGGGCTTAGACGCTGTCACAAGGTCCGGCACATCATTGCGCGCAAGACGCGTAGTTAGTCGCGTGGCATCGC